GTGAAAGCGGAGTGGAATGGTGGCGGACTCCTACAACTCTAAGATGAACAGGAATAATTGAATCAAAGCAAGATTTATTCCCATGAGGTATTAGGAGACTTGGTTTCTAACCCAAGTGAAAATCGCCTACCCTCTGTTGATTTTACGTGGCATATATTTCATTAGTGAAACAGAACAAGAAGCCTTCAGGGAGGTACAGCCAGGCTGGGATAGGCTCAGAGCCTGCTGGGTTTTATAGAAAGGCAATCAATTGTAGTCTGGGCAGTTGGCCCAGGGAACTAGCCAAATGGTGTTATCCCTGGGCCTCAGTGTGACCATCTGTAAAATGTGAAGTTGAACAAAACAACCACAGGTCTCACCCCACTCCAACGGTTTCGTGATGATTGTTGGTGAGGAGACTACCTGCAGGACAGTTTTTGTTTTAGAAGATGTATCTTATTTGAAAGACGAAATTATTGAGAAAGAGCGGGATGGACAGAGAAAGAGGCCTTGTGTCTTCTGGTTCCCTCTGCAGATGGGCCAGGCTGGAGCCAGGAGTCAGGAGCTACTTCCTGGTTTCTCACATTGGATGCAGGGGCCCAAGGACTTGGGGCATCCTCCGCTGCTTTCCCGGGTACATTCGTGGGGAGTTGAATTGGAAGTGGAGCAGCCAGGACTCAAACTGAAGCCCATGTGGGATAGTGGTGCTGCACTGGCCTGCTTGTCACAATGCTGGTTCGTGAGGCAACATTTCTAGTTGTGCTCTGACTGCAATAATATATCTATCCATAAACTTCCCCTGGTGACCAACACGCACTCTGACTGGCTCGGTTCCTCTTGTCCATTTTGTTGTGGTCTTCCGCAATAGGAGAGAGAAGAGCAGTTAGGGGTTCTTTGTGAATAAGTTCCCCGAGGAGGAATGGCTGAACCTCTTTGGGTTCTGAGTCACCTGGAATCATTTGTGCAAAGGCAAGCCAAAGGTGAGGTTCAGGGTGCGTCCAGTTCAGGTACAAAGAGAGGGTGGAGATGCCCAGCCCACAAGCCTGGTTCTTGGCTTAGTCCTGTGTGAGTGTGCGCATGTGCACATCCATAAACCTACGGCTTACATTGCATACTCTCAGATTTAACTAGAAAAATGTGTATTGTTCCTGTTCTTTTCTAAGTTAAATTTCTCCTAGGAACTTGCAGGCACTGAAATCAGAAGGGAAGAAAATATTTTGTTCAAATTTAAAACTGTTTTCTGAACACATAGCAATTCAATTCTAGGGGGCTAGGAAATGACATGCAGAAGCTTTTCCAGAAACTTCTGACTTGGAAATTCTCAAACTGTGAGCAGCAGTAGGCTGACTTCCTGACAAAATCACACTGGCAAGCAAGGGTTGAGTGAGTAAGAGAGTCAATTTCTTTTCTTAAGCCGCAGTAAACAGTTCTGGCCAAGCAGAACGCTAATCCACGCATTGAATGCTAACTCGGCAGTTTCGATTGTGCACCTGTAACATGGTGCCAGCCTGAGAAGCGGCCTTGAGGAAAGCTGAGTGATTGTCAGGGTTCGACCTCATCACAGGAAAACATTTAGCTGTGAAGCATGGACACAGGCTGAAGGGTGAGGGTCTATTTTGCTGTAGCCAGTAAGGAGGATGAGTGTTTGAGTTCAAAGTAAGGATTTGGAAGAAAGGAGCAGGGACTCACCCTCTTGGAGGATGTTTTCCAAACAAGCTAAATGTTCTTTCAGGCTTTTGCCAGAAATTTAAACCTAAGTTTATACAGTAGAAAGCTTTTAGAATGTGTTGGGGACTCACTTTATCTCAAACAAGAAAAGCAAAAAGCCAAAAAAAAAAAAAAACCAGGTCTATCACTCTTCGAAGATGACTATTTGTTGTACAGGGCAATCAAAAGGGTGTGTCTTTCACACTGAAAAGATTAAATCTTTAAATCCCTGTCAAGGTCTGAGTTGCAGAAAACCAGGTGCCAATCTTGATTTAAAACATCTTAGCTATCACAAAAAGATGTTCTTAACTGCTGTTCATCTGTTATCTAGCTCTTACATGTTAACTCTAGCTTTCACATTCATATAGAAATACATTTTAAGAAAATTTAATATTTTGTTTAAAGGACATGAAAACCCTTGAATCTTCTTAGGGTGTCCCTTTCTTTAAAAAAGATTTACTTATTTTTATTGCAAAGTCAGCTATACAGAGAGGAGGACAGACAGAGAGGAAGATCTTCCATCTGATGGTTCACTCCCCAAGCGACTGCAATGGCTGGTGCTGCGCCGATCCAAAGCCAGGAGCCTGGAACTTCTTCCAGGTCTCCCATGTGGGTGCAAGGTCCCAAGGCATTGGGCCGTCCTCTACTGCTCTCCCAGGCCACAAGCAGGGAGCTGGATGGGAAGTGGAGCTGCTGGGATTAGAACCGGCGCCCATATGGGATCCTGGTGTGTTCAAGGTGAGGACTTTAGCCACTAGGCCAACGCACTAGGCCCAGGTGTCCCTTTTAAGATTGAAATGCAAACAACCATACAAGAGGCGGATCCTGGTTTTAAATATGTGTTTGGCAAGAAAAGCAGAAGTTTTGCAACTGAAGTCATTTTAAAAGCGCAGGTGAATAGGCACCCAACTCAAAACCCACCTGTGGGACTTCTGTCTCACCTGCACGGTTACTGATGCTGTCATGCAGAATTCTAATATGATGTGCACTTACTCATTATTTTCCCAGAAAACATGGTATTGTAAGATAAAGGTATATTTATAAGTTTCATGGGAAGCCTTACTGTTATTTGGGATTAGAGACACATATTGTATGTTACCAAATGACCCAGCCATCCTACCCCTGAAAATACATCCAAAAGAAATGAAATTTGCATTCAAGAGAGCTGCCTGCAACCCTGTGGTTACAGCAGCACAATTCACAATAGCTAAGACTTGTAGCTAACCCAGATGCCCAGCAACAGAGGAATGGGTGAAGGAACTGTAGTACATTAGCCCTATGAAATACTACTCAGTCATAGAAAGAATGAAGTCTTCCCATTCACAACAGAATTGTGCCAGTTGGAATCCATTATGCTTAGGGAAGTAAGCCAGTCCCAAAAGGACAAATATTATACATTCTCTCTTATGTAAGAAAACTACTCTGCAAAGTACAATGTCTAAGTATCTAAAGCACATAGACATATATATGAACATGGAGATCAGCATGCTGAGATGACATAAATTTGAACATTAAAATTTGATACAGGTGAGAAGACAGGCATGCAGTAATCCTTTGAAGGAATATCACGAAACATTTTATGAATCTTACATTTTTGTAGATGCATCACGCTTGGGTCTCTGCTGTGTTTGATTTTTTAGGTCTTGTCACCATGAACATAATTCATTAGATCTACCTAATGAAATTACACAAATTTAGTGTGTGTGTGTGTGTGTTTTAAAGATCATATTTTTTTTGAAAGACACAATTACAGACAGAGCGCCAAGCTTTCACTCACTGCTTCATTCCCCAAGTGGCCGCAACAGCCAGAGCGGGGGGACTTCAGCCAGTCTCCACGGCTTTCCCAGGCCAGCAGCAGGAGACCGAGTCAGAAGTGGAGCAGCCAGGACTAGAACTGAGGCCCGTATGGAATGCTGGTGTTGCAAGCAGAGGCTAGATGTACTATGCCACAGTGCCAGGCTAATGTAATGAACTTAAGTGACTTTTTACCCTCCCCTCCCCACTTAGAGTCAGGTATTACTCTATGAAATAGAATAAATATTCTCATCATGACAGCAAAGAGGTTGGCTTTGTAGACTGAGGAAATCTACAAATCTGCAGAAAACAGAAAAAAGCTACCAAGATCAGCTTGGTTATCTTAAAATTACTTTCCTTGAAAATTAGGCACAAAGAGACAGACAACAGGATTGTTTAACATCAGGTTACTTTTTTGTGTAAGACTGAAAGCAGAGAGAACTTAATTATCATTATGTACTTGGAAGCATGCTTATTTAGAAAGTTGGATTTTCTTTTTCTAATTCTGAATTCTTGCAAGGTCATGAACATCTTGGTTTCAATTTTGTAACTAGAACCTTCTTGTAAAAGCCTCCATGCTGAATATTAGCCTGTTGTGCTGCTGGTTTGAGCCAAACCAACAGCATCCTTCAGTAGACAACACCCTTCTCTACAGTAACATCTTCTTCCTAAAAGCTAGAATGCACTTGCCCTTGAAGCTGCTCTATTGTGATTGTCACATGCCAGCTCTTCATTTGTAGGATGAAAACAGCTAGCTGTTAACATCTACAAATATGATGTCAAGAGCATGAAAGAGAGAAGAATAAAGGAACCATGGACTAGTCATTGGTTTAAAAAAGCACACAATTTCACAGGTGGCACAATACGTCCAGATGTATTCTTGTTTGAATCTAACCTTGACTTTGCAAGTTGTTAATACATTTATAAGCCCATTCTGAACCATCCACCTGTATAGGGCCTAAGACAAAGGATCTTTTTGGAGGAAAACGAAGAGTCTGGGGACAGGAAGGACCCTGAAGGATGTCTTGCAGGAGGCAGACACAGAGATGGAGAAAGGTATCCACCGAGTCAAAAGGCAAAGGCTGAGAGGGGGCAGGCATGTCTCCTGTGTTATCCACCAACTTCCAGCTTCCCTCCTGTGGCAACATGCCTCCACAGTTACCACACTCAGAAGCCAAGTGCTCAGCCTGCTGATGGACCCCACATTTGCAGTTCAGCAGCAGCTACCTTCAAGTCTGAAATCTTGTCAAGGGGATTTCTCTAGGAGGAGTTGGCCAGCTGCATAAATTAGACATCTAAAGATGTTTTGAGCAAATCAGGATTTAAACACATTTAAAATATTTACTAAAGACTAAATATTCCACTCAGCCCTCTTAGTTTTAAAGAGATGTTTGTGCCTTTTCTCTGTGCTAGAATTTCGGACAAGGTTTGCTTTCTTGAAAGCTGCTCAGTTTTCCCCTACCCTGCTGTTCCATAGTGTGCAGTGCCACAAGAGTTTGCTAATATAAAAATTTATCTTGGTGCTTGCTTCAGCAGCACATACACTAAGATTGGGACGATATAGACAAGATTAGCATGACTCCTGCACAAGGATGACTCACAAATTCATGAAGCGTTCCATATAAAAAGATAATTATCTTGAACCACCAGGACCAAAGTCCCTTTGGTAGCCACACTTTTCTTGCAAATGAAGAACTGATTGGATCACCAGATCAAGGTGCCTTGGCTTAATAACAAAAGAAAACAAGCCTGACCTTGTGAAATTTTACCTAAGCTCTATGTTCCTAGAAAACAGAGGCCATGAAGAAAATCCTCTCACGTCATGTGTGTTCCAGGAAAGCATTCCAGGAGGAAGTTTCTCTCTTCCTGGGACTAAGACTCACAGAGATCCCCTCTGCTTACCAAACACAGACCTTCCAAATCCCATTTTTTGTCTCATAAATGACTGGCTGAACTCTAGTCTCACTAACCAATCTTGACAAAACCATCACTTGACCAAATTGTAGTTATGTTTCTTGCTAGCTGAGGCTTCAGAACTTTGGCCCATCTTTACCAGCATATAAAACCCACTCTCAGATCCTGGTCTATTGTACTAACCCACCTCCACTGCTCCATCCCACTTCTCTACAGCCAGTTCTCCCTAACCTTGTCTGTTCCTCCCTGGAACATAGAAAACCCGTTTTCTGCAGATGTCATAAACTCGATTGCAGTGTTCCCGCCTTCCTCCTTTCTGCAGGAATCTTACCCACCACCAGTCAGTCATTCCTTATCTAAGTTCAGATTTGCTTTTGGGTTATGAAGGGAATGTAAACATTTTTCAAAAATAAGGTGGAGTTGTTTGTATCAACATTAAGGAAAAAGAAATCTAACTGAGGGTTATAAAGACAGGTTCTTACGCATGGTTGCCTGATAATTACTGTCACAAGACTTTGCCAGGACACCTTACACAGAGGCCACCACAGCCTTATGCCAAAAGTATTTCTGTAAAGATACCTGCCCTGACCTAGGTAAACTTCTCTGGCAAAAACAAACAAACACACAAAAAGCTCAGAGACATCACGCCCTGGAGTTCTGCACAGCTACACTGGAGTTTTCATTTTGCTAAAAGTCACTTTTGTAGCCACAATATCACAACTCATTTTATAACCAAATTTTCTTTGTGTTTACTCCCTTTAGTCAAATGACAATCCTGGATTGCAGAACACCGCTCAACAAGGTGTTTCAAGCCAGCAAAAACTACTATAAATAATAAAGCGTTAGGATAGTCACTTTCTTTAGACTAGTATTTAGTGTACTATATGGGAAGACTACCTAGAGAACTGAAGATTGAGGCTCAAACACAATCTAACTTCCTAACTTTATTTTAATGACTCTGAACACTCAAACATTTAGCATAACCATATTAAAATACAAATGCAAAGCACTTTCCACAACCAAATTTTAGTTCTTGATTTTTTTTCTTTTCTTTTTAATTTATTTTTATTTGAAAGGTAGAGTTACAGAGAAAGAGAGAGGTAAGTGGTCATGTGGTCCAGAGCTGGGCTGGCCTAAAGTCACAAGGCAGGAACTTCTTCTGGGATCCTGTGTGGGTTCAGGGACCCAAGGCCATATTCTGCTGCTTTCCCAGGCTATTAACAGGGAACTGGATAGGAAGCTAAGTAGCTGGGACTCGAACCGGCACCCATATAGGATACTGGCCTCACAGGTGGTAGCTTAGCCTACTACATCATGACACCCACATAAGTTCTTGAAATTTTGCTCTGTTTTAGAACTGACTTTACCAGCTCTAAATGGAATCACTAATGGGATCACTGCGAATTTGTTGGATAACACGTCTTTCCCAGCTGAGTTCACAGACTCACTCCATTGCTTTGTTTTATTGTTTCTAACAAATAGGTCATGAGCAATGATGATTTTGTTTATTTTTTTTTTAAGATTTTTTTTTTTTTTTTATTCATTGGAAAGGCGGATATACAGAGAGGAGAGACAGAGAGGAAGATCTTCCGTCCAGTGATTCACTCCCCAAGTGAGCGCAACGGGCCGATACTATGCCGATCCGAAGCCAGGAGCCTCTTCCGGGTCTCCCACGCGGGTGCAGGGTCCCAAAGCTTTGGGCCGTCCTCCACTGCTTTCCCAGGCCACAGGCAGGGAGCTGGAAGGGAAGCGGGGCTGCCGGGATTAGAACCGGCGCTCATATGGGATCCTGGGCGTGCAAGGCGAGGACCTTTAACCACTTGCGCCACCGCGCCGGGCCCAGCAATGATGATTTTGAAGAATGCTATTCATTTAGAAACAACTTAGGAAAAACCACCAAGCTAACTGCATCAAATATGTGTTCTGTGTAACTCAGTAATACAAACCTCTTTACAATTCGCTCAGTTGAGGCCACAAAATTTTACTTGCTTGTTTTAACATTTTTATCCATTTATTTTATTTGAGGCAGAGAGAACACTCCCATCAGCTAGTTCCTCCCCCCGGGTACCAGCAACAGCTAGAACTGTATGTCAGAACAAACTTAGGAGCCAGAAACTCAATCCAGCTCTCTCCTATGGGATGGCCAGGACCCAGGTGCATGAGCCATCACCTCCTGTCTCCCAGAGATGAATTAGCAGGAAGCTGGACTCTGTAACACAACTGGGACTCCAATGGAGCCGTGCTGATATGAGATACATGTAACCAAATAGGATCTTAACCTTTGCATCTTAACCTTTATCTAAAAGGTCACAGACTTTTAGATAAAGGGAGGAAGGGAATAAAAAAACAAAAAGGAAAATAGATAAGTTGGTTAATTGTTTACTCTCATTTGTTTATGAATCTAGTAGATCTGAAAAGGGCAGGACTTTAAGCCAAGGTCTAGTGAATCCAACAAACACAGTAAGATGTGCAACTGAAAAATTACAAAATAAACAACAAGCTTCACACCCATTAGCGCTTCACTGCTCAGTGCCATGTATTTCCTAAAGCAGTGAGCAGAATTCAGTTCTCCAGGGAGCCAGGGTTTGTGCACTAAATCACTGTAGAAGATTTATTCTATACCAGACTCTGGTAATTTTACATTCCAGACATTTCTGGATATAGCCTCCCAGTTCAGGCCTGCATTATTTTGATTTTATACTATCACATTGATTCTCTAGTCCCTCTCCAGCTATTTTTAGACACTTCCCAGTCTATCACTCAAGCAATATTTGAAGTGATCTCTCTCTTGCATGCAAATAGGAACATTTAAAAAACATTTTAGTGTCTGTATGCTTTAGTGTCACCCTGTGAAGTCTTGTAGTCAGCCTTTTTCCTGTGGCTCCACCTCTATCCCTGGCTGCACGGTCCACTCTGACACGGGAACAGCAGAACTGCTGTGAGATCCCCCGGGTGCCCACCCAAGCCCAGTATTCTAGGTGTGGACACATGCTATTCGATGCTTCTTTCCCAGCGTTGCTCTGCCTCACGTGCTTTCCATCACAGCTGGCCATGGGGCAAGCGTTGGCTCCAGAAAAGTCCGCTGAAACTTGACACCTGCCCCTCAATCTTTGCCAGGTGGTTCCTTGTTGTTGCTTCTGGAAGGAACTCAGTCAGTAAGCATCACATGGAATAAGAACAGTACAATTCTACAAAGGCCACCTTCTGTTGCTTTCCCAGACACAGTAAGGGGAACTGGGTTGGAAGTAAAGCATGAGGATTTGAACCAGTGCTCATATGGGATTCCAGCATTGCAAGTGGCATCTTAATTCACAGAGCCACAGTGCCAGCCCCTATAACAAGCTAATTTCTAATCTGATGATTACAAATGGCCTACAAATTATGTCATAGATATCCAAATGGCTCTTGGCAGAAAAATATTCCCCACCCTTGCTTTATGCAAACAAATGGTATACTCATATAAAGAGGCAGATGCTGCTCAGAGGGGTAAAAGCTCACTTAGGAGTCATCTGGGAAGGAATATCCTGTGGCATCCCACAGGCCCATTGGAAATGGAATGGTTCCCCATCCAGAACAGTCCTCCAAAAGGCCTGATAGAAAGCTGGGAAACAAGATCATTCTGGGTGCCATATATTTTTTTTTTCAGTATGAAAAATACATGGGTTGAGCATTCTCAACCTGAAACTTCAAGCTCCATAAGCCCTCAGAATCTGAAGCTTTCTGGACACCAACCCAGCAACAGCAGTAAATTCCATTCTACAAAACTGTTTCATGCACAAAATTATTTTAAAATATTGTGTAAAATTAGCTTCAGATCTTTGTAAGATATATATGAAATAGAAATGAATTTCTTGTTTAGAGCTTTATCATTAAGATAGTTCATTATATATATGAAAATATTTTAAAAGCTCTCCCCAAATCTGAAATACAAAGCACTTCTGGTGCCACACATCTTCAATAGGGGTGCTCAACCTATAGTAATTCTGTTTCTGAACTGTTAAGGAATGTCTAAGCCAGAATCTAGATTTTACTTTTTGAAAAGAGCATCAGATTTCTTTCTTACCTTGTTATTGGTGAGCAACAGCCTTTACATCTAATTCGCCATTCATTGTAAGGGCCACCACATGCCTGGTGCCATACCAAGTGATGGGAATGAACCAGACAGTTCCTTTACTGAGTTCCTGGAGTAGATGTATAGGTAAAACAGAAATAAACAAGCACATCAACCCAGTGATGAGGGACTATGTGATGACTGTGTTAGATCCTTTAGAGGGGATGGCCAAGATTGTGCAAGACGGGCACATTGTGCAAGCTGCATTTAAAAGATGAGAAAGAGCCAGCTGTGTGAGGAACTGGGGAGAGTCCCAGGTTAAGAAAGCCCCAAAGGGAAACAGAGGTGATCCCGTGGAGGAAGTAAAGATGGTGGTGTTCAAACAGAAATGGGGTCCATGAGACCCCATGTTTCTGGTATTCATGTTACTTCACAAAGGAGCTCCTCTCACCAGTAGTCCTGAGTTACATGTTATCCAAACCAACTGAGCTCCTAAAAACCTTGGTAGGCCACTTCACCTGGGCTCACTGACATGTAAAACAAAAGGTTGGATGAGGGCTGATCAATAATTCCATGTACAATGATGCTGTTACCATTGGTTGCTTTAAAAATGCTGAACCCCTTGAGACATCATTTATTCATTCACAACTCAAAGATAACAC